TTTTTTTTTTTCACGGGTCCCAGGGGGGGGGGCCAGGGGGTGTTGGGGGGGGTTTCTTCCGAGAATTTGGGCGTGATTTTACGTTTCAAAAAAATTACGGTTTAAACCTTTGTTTTGGGGGTAAAAAGTTTTCCCAAACCCCTCCTTTGGGGAAATTTTGGGTTATTTTTGGGGATTTTTTTTTTTTTTTTTCCAATTTTATCAGTTTTCCCCCCCTTTTTTGCCCCCCCCTTAATTCCCCCCCCCCCCCCCCCCCGTTGCAATCCCCTTCTCCTGCCGCTCGCGTGCCTGTGTCGGTGTCGGTGGCATGGTACCATAGAGAGATGAAGAACCACCTGGAGAAGCTCTTGCTGAACTCTCAGAAGTCCCAGGCCGACCTGGCGGTGAGTGAGCGACCCGCACAAAATGGCAGCGATCGCCTTGCCTGTACGGGTAGGGTTCCTTGATTCTTGGGGGGATGGGTGGCCCACACGCGTTGTCGTCGTTTGTGGTGTTGTTTTATGTTGTTGTTGCTGTTCTTGGCGAGAGTTGAACTGCCGACAGTCTACCAGCGTTGGCCATAGTCCCTGTGTGAAAGCACGTTGGTCTACGAGTAGTTCGAAGGGCAGAGATGGACGATTCTGTGCGACCACAATGGGCGTGCTCTTGGTGTCCCTCAAGAGACAAGAGGAAAGGAGGAGGAGGAACTACTCGCACCCCTTAAGTGGCAACAGCCGTGGAGCCAACTATCGAGAGTTTTTGGCAACAAAGAGTATTGCCGTTCAATCACCACACAATGTATCTCTGAAGGATAGAAGAAGACTCACTTGAATTGAGAGTCTGTCTGTGTTGGAGTTCGTTACAATACAAAGCGAGATGCAACCTCACGTCATCGAGAACACCGACCAAGAACACCCGCGAGCGCGCGCGCGTTGATGTGCACAGCATCGATGGAACCGTAAACGGCTGACCAGTGAGCGCCGGTTCCATCCATGCACTCCCCCAACTCCGGAACATGGTCAGAACGGCGAAGGTGACCGAAGAGAGATTGACCAAGAGATGCCCACCCCGCCTCCCGCCTCTTCTTCCTTCCCCTCAGGGCCAACGCTCGACGCTGGAGGCGGAGCTCGGCAAGCTCCGGCGACGGATGGACGAGCGGGCGAAGACGGCTTTGGAGGAAGAGCGTAAGACCACGACGCTCGCGCGAGAGTGCGGGAACTTGAAGACCGAGCTCGAAGCGGTGGGTGGAGCCTATGAATAGCCTGCATTTGTGGTGCGATAAGCGTCGTCATCTTGCAGATGTTGTGTTTTGTCATGGGCCTGTGGTAATAGTTGGTTGGTTCCTTGGTAAATGTTTTTGTCCTCTCCTTCATTTTTGCCCCCCCCCCCCCCCCCGCTCCGTCTTTGGAACATTTTCCAGCCCGGCCGTCCATCTGGAATCCCCAACACGGACGGGGGAGACGACAAGCCAATAACTAGTCGCTGGCTTAACACTTGTCGCACACACTTGAGAGCATCTGAACGGGTTGTACGGCGGTGACTCTATCTATCCAGGTGCAAGGCCGATGCCTGGATCTCGAAAGGAAGAAGGTTTTCCTCCTCAATGATTACATGACTCACCGCAAGCAACAAACCTCCCTGTCCTATATTTCCCTGTTTGGGTGCCGCTGTCTGTTGTGCGTTTTTGATCACTGTTCCATCTTATCAGGCACGCCAAGACATCACCAGCGCCTCGGAGGAGCTGGCCGCCGTCCGCCTGACCAAGCAGGAGGCCGACGAGGCTCTGCTGGGGAAGGACAAGGAAAACAGCAAGGTGCGTCAAAGCCTTTGGTTGTGTGCATGTAGCCAACCAGGCTCTGTCGAAGAGCACGGCCGGCAGAAGAAGGGCCACTACAGTTGTACTACATACTTCTCTTGTTGTTGTTGTTGTGAGTTCTCGTTATTGCTAGTGTTTCCGTTGCCGATGTCGTTGTCGTTGTCCTCGGGGCTGGTGCCTTATTGGATACAGTAGGTACCTCTCTTCTTGCTGAAGATATCTCGCTGCTCCCTAAGCGGTACGATCCTCACGCACCATGGCTGTCCCTGGTGCGGCCTGTTTCATCCGTCGTCGTTGCTTTCGTGCATGTTGGGGTCGGCCTTTGCATCACACGTCCCCGCCGGCTCGCCCGCCTGTCTCTGTCCTATCCCTTACGCAGCTCCGGAACAAGAACGAGAGCTTGAGGGTGGAGATGGACCGACGACTTCATGCTCTCAACCAGGAGAAGGGAGACCTGGCAGAAAAGTGAGAGAAAGAGAAACGTTAAGTTCTCGGTCAAGGGAGGCACTCGCCGGGGGGGGGGGGGGAGGGTTCGCCCATCGTGGTCTGACCGGTTGGTTGTGCCTTGTGGCATGGCAAAAAAGTGGGGGAATTTCCGTAGCGCCTGAAGGCCTTCGCCTCTCACGCCCAAAAGTTGGTGATACACTTTTACTTTTTTGTTTTGTCCCCACCTTGCCGAGGTGCTCTGAAGAGGAATCGCGGCAGCAGCGTTGGTTTACGGTTGGTTCTCGCTGCTTGTATGCACGTCAGGGTAGCATGTTCCACTCCCGTTTCATCGTGTCGTTGTGTTTGTCTTTCTCAGTGTACAAGTATACAGGAGACCCTCCCTCGTCGTGTTTCTTTTTTTTTTCTTTTTCTTTTCGCCTGTTTCGCTACACCTCTGATGTTATTTCATGTTAAAACGCGATTGAACAAACTCTGATATTGCTAAATGCTAAAACGCGCTTGAACCAGGATGGAGGAATCGATTCGGGAGCTGAAGGAGCGGGAGAACTTACTCCACGGCCAGGTGTGCTATGACTGCTACGACAGAATTTTCGGTTCGATATGACATGACATGCCTGCCGTCTCCGCGAAGAAATAAAACCGAACACATCTCGTGCCTCTTGACAACGTTCAAGGTGTAGAGTAAACCAACCTTTTTTGTGCATTAATGTCGGTTTTCGGGGGTTTGTTGACGTTGGCTTGCTGGTGTGACTGCCCTGAAATTTTCGCGCTACATCCACGCATAGACTGACTGGGAAAGACGGCTAGCTTTCTTGAGAAGGGCAACGTTGGCATATGCAAGCAACAGCTGGTGGAAGATGGCGCAACACCATTTTTTTTATCTACTGCTGCTACCGCCGCTGTCTGCCTACTTGGTATGAGATGAGATTTAACAACATTCCCCGACGCGCAGTGCTTTCTCGTTCTTTTCTTCCGCCCAAAGAAATGCGTTCGATTCACCAAAACACCCCCCCAAACTTGACGTGCGGTTCATCGGATTCAGCTGGAAGCCACGGGAAGGGAGAACAAGGAGATCCAGGAGGCGCAGTCGGCGGAGATCAGCGAGATGGAGGAGCAGCTGAGGTTGGCCAACGAGGACAGGGAGCGCTTGAAGGCGGACGCGAGGAAGGCGAAGGCACACAGCAAGGTAGGCGTGTGTGTCTGCCTGCCTGTATTCACACATTTTCTGTTTTGAACTACGAGATGAAAAGCGTCACTGAGTTAACTTTTGTTTTTCCTTTCTTGACATGCTAAACTTGTCTCTAGTACATGTCTCCTCTGACGATATTACGCATGGTGCAGTTGCGTGTTGTGTTACTGTATCATCTTTTTATTTGTATTCCAGAGTTTGCGTTTCCATTATTTTGCTTACAGGCGTGTGTATCGATGCTCGTGCGTGCCTCTGTTAATACTTGGATCCTCCGAAGGCCCAGACGAATGAATCATTGGCGACGCGCGAAAGCGCCATCACCAACTAGTTTTTCAGCGTTTGTCCTTGTCGATACAGCTCGTGTGACGTGCACAAGGCGATGAAAGTGTTGCCTGTCAGCGTTCGTTGTCGTAGTGGTAGCATAGCAGGAGTTCTGCGGCGATTGCTGTGTTCCGCCTGTGTGCCGCTGGGTTTACACAGATAGGTCTCGACCTTTGACCTTGCTGTCGCGGTAACCGGTTGAATTCACTCGTACATTGACATCTGAACGGTGCCCTCTCATCTTCTCCTCCCCCCTGCTGGCTGCTGCTGCTGCTGCTGCTGCTGCTGCTGCTGCTTCTTCTTCTGCTTTTGGCGCTGTCGTGCAGTCGGAGGCTAGGTGGCGGGCGAGAGCTGAGGATGTCATGGCGGGCAGAGCGGCGGACCTTGAGCGGGCGAATGCAGAGGTGGGGGAGGAAGGGGCCACGGAAGCTTATATTTTCGAACGTGTCCACTGCTGTCAGTGTGGTTCTGTTCTTTCCTCTTGGTGCTGCACCTTGCTCCGTGGAAGCATCGTCCTAAGACACGCGTGCAAGAGAGTCGGTCATGTCTTTTTCGTCCCGCTATCTAACGTTGTCGTTCGTTTTACCTCCCACAACCGTCTCGAAAACACGCTTCATGTGTTGCTATAGACACGCGTGAAATGTGCAAGAAAAAGTCAGTCTTGTCTTCTTGGTACTGTTATACTAATGTTGCCGTTTCATCGCCACAACATTCGCGACAACACGTGTTGCTGCCGCGTTAAAGGTTGCGGCGATGAAGCAACAGGGCGTGGAGCTGCGGCATATGGAGGCCGAGAACAAGGATCTGAAGGCACGGATCGAGAGGCAGGAGGCCTTCCACAAGAGGAGGATGGAGAAGGAGAAGAGGGAAAAGAGGGCTGGACGGCCTGTGTCCGGAGGGTCTGGCAGAGTGCCACCCGGACCCGCTGGCGGCGCCGCGTCTGGTAAGGGCGATACGAAGTGGGGTACTTTGGTGCACGCATGGCACAGGAGTTGGTGATCGTCCGAAGTCGTCGATGAAATGCATGCGGCATGTTTGTCGGTGTGTTGAAGTCACGCGCAGGTTTATTCTTCCAGTCCGGCCCCACGTTGTGGTTTCTGTAGGGAGTAGTTGTTGTACAATATTGGTTGGTGTTGTTGCTGTTGCAGTGATCGCGATTTGAAGCATGATCGGTATTTCCGTACGGTCGATGGGCCGACTCTTGCACCAATCCCCCGTTCGTAGTAGGTTGTTTGTCTCTTGACGAACCACATCTCCAGGACACTAGAACGCACCAGGCAGTCGGTCATACTACGGTCTACACGGCACAATCTGTGTTCTTGAGGGAATGACTGCGTCACGTTTAATCCATTTCCAATGTTGCACATGGTGTGGCCCCCGTTCGGTTGGTACCCCCACTTACTCCCCGGTGCATGTACCCGGCGCCTGCGCCATGTTGCCGTTGTTTACTTTGTGCCATGCATGTTACGGTTGTCATTTCGTAGCGTGCGTATTGGTTTCGTTGTTCCATGATTCGTAGTCAACCAACTCGATCAACGTCTGCCCCAAGTATCAGCAATTTAACGACGACAAATCTAACCAACAAAATCAAATATAATACAGGGCGCGCGGCGGCTCAACTACTCCCCTTGCCGCCGCTGATGACCTACGGCGAGGACGACGGCCGCGGCGCGAGCCGGAGGCTGTCGATGACGCCGACTTCGGCCAGCCGAGGGGGAGACGGTGATGACGGTGACGGCGGCGGCGGCGGCGGCGGCCGCGAGCTGTTCTCGTCCGAACGGCCTCGCTCCGCTTCTGAAGCTCACGGCAGCGGCGGTGGAAGCAGCCCTTGCTTCTTCTCAACAACAACCCCGTCGAATCACGCCGATAAGGAGAACAGGGTCCAGCAGAAGCAGGCAGCGGCAGCACAGCGAAGAGGAGCCCCTGCGTGGGAAGGCAATGGCGGCGGCGGCGCCGACTGCGAGGCTGGCGCCGGCGGCGGCAGAGACATCGACGGCGGTGACGGCGGTGCGTTTACCGACGACGACGCCGCTGGAAGGGGCGGTTGTCGCGCTCCTGCGAGCGGGGGACGCCTGAAAACCAGCGGTCTCAGCAGCAGCGGAGTTAACAGCAGGGGGCGGGGATTGTCGTCGTCGGGAAGCAAGGGCGGGGGAGTCGGCAGGGCTACCGTCGCTAGCGCTGCTGCTGCTGCTACGCAGCCCCTGGAAAGCAGCAAGATCAGGCGCGTGGCGAGGTCGCCGGCGACGCGCGGGTTGCACGAGGCCACCGGCGGTCGCCACGCCACGACCGCTTCCTCGCACTCGTCTTCTCGCGGAAGGTGTGAAAAGGGACACCAAACCCGTCGCAATGCTCTCCCTTCTTTTTTTGGTTTGGCGTTTCTCGTTTTTTGTTTGTCAGCGATACCCTCTTGTTCCTGTCTGTTCTGCCTTGTGCGACGGTTAGATGTTCCGCGAAACATCCACGGTATTGGTATCGGTACGGGTTTCCATCCGGGTAGCCAGCCCCCCAAGTATGTAGCTCGGCGTCAAAAAAACTATTGTGCATGCGCGCGCACAGCTTCAAACTAAAGGAAGAGCCACTCGCCTTTTGCTCTCCCACCAGCTTTACGCCCGATGATATGTAGCCCCGAGCTTCCTTCCCTCGCCCGGTCTCACACTTGCGAGCACCTTCACACGCCTCGTTATTTACCGTTTTGCGGGTGTGCAGTATTTCGGCTCTCGTGTGTACGCAGCCCTGATCGTTTCAACTGCTATCCCTACCGCCGCCGCAACCGCCTCCTAAAGACAACTTGTTTCGTGTTTCTTTTGCTCTGTCTCTGTTGTGTGGGTTTGTTGATGGTCGCAGGAGTGCTGTGGCGGCGAAGGTGGGGGCCCCGCGGTCGTCGAGCCTAGGTATTCAGTCCCGTGCCTCCTCGGGGTGGCGGTGAGGGGGCCCAAAAAGAAGAGACACACGGAGTATGTTGGAGGGGTGGGGGACACACTGGGGATGGGCATTGCAACGGCATGGGTCTCGCTCGGATATGGGGGGGGGGGTGTACTCATAGTCGTGCATGCCGTAGTCGTAAGACCATTGACCTCGCATCCCTACGAAGCCGGGACGGAGCACGCCGGGTTCTCACCGGACCAGGGGGTGGGGGGGGGGTACTCATAGTCGTGCATGCCGTAGTCGTTAGACCATTGACCTCGCATCCCTACAAAGCCGGGACGGAGCATGCCGGGACGGAGCATGCCGGGTTCTCACCGGACCAGGCTCTCACATCACCAAGCGCGAAGCGCCGTGAGGTAGGGAGGATGAAACCGACAGGGGCCAAGGCTATCTCGCTCCCGAAAGGTCATACAGTAGTAGGCGGTACGGGGGCGGGGGCGGGTGGCGCGCTCTTGTTGCTGCCATTTTTTTTGGTGTTTTTCTCGTTCCTGCCGTACAAGTGTCGACGCCATCTGGGACGAAGAAGCAGCACAAGATAGGACCCATACATTGTATGCATAGTCTTCATCTTGGTTGTTGGTCGGGTTTTGGAGAGGGAAGGGACGGCACGGCTTGGTGTAGCGTGTGGTGCGCGGAAGGGAACGAAATAGGCAACGCTTTTCATTTGCCTTATACCTGATTGTCGGCCGGCTGGTGGCATTTGTGTTTTCCGGGGGGGGCGTTGTGGTGAGGGGTGGAGGGCTTGTTGTATAGCTCATGCACTAGCGGGTTTTACTGGTCTTTAACGTTCGCTACACGCAGGACGATACAGTCCGGTTGCTCCGGGGGGAAAACAATGAAAAATGCCTGTTTTCTTTTTTCTCATACAAGTCTTTTAAGCAAGGGGGGGCGGGGGTGTAATTTGTGAAATGAGGAGAGAAAAGAGGATCGGATTCTCGTGGTCGCTGTGGCTGTGGCGATTATTCTCACCTTCGACCCTTCGATCCTTTCACTCAAGGAACCAGGATGAGACCTTCTATGTCCGTCTTCGGATGCTTGCAAAGGTTGGAAAGGATAAGCTTCCACCTTTTCTTTTCGTTTTTCTTTTGTGGTGTTTGCTGCTGAGCGGGGCAGGGCGGCCGATGTTCTTGTGGTCTGTTCCTCCAATGTTGATTACAGTTCTATCGCTCGAACTGCGCTTCAGCCATGTTTTGCGTGTCGATTTCTCGGTTGCTTGCTGCCTTCCACGTGTCCTTGCTACCCTGTTGCATCATACGTTCAGTACATACTTGGTGATTTTTCATCGCACCAGGTTCACGTGTCTTGTTGAAGCAATGGTCTTGATCGGGCACATAACTGCTACTGTGCACTACTTTCGGTGGGCTTGGCGCCTATCGAATGGTGGATGCTGCACACCACGTGCTTCTTGTGGCGCCACCCCCTCTGCGCATGACTATGATAGGACGGGGCACGGATGATTTGCGGTGGGGGGGTATAAGGGGGGGAGAGAGGTGAAAAGACAGAGCCCACACGTATGTGGCCCCATGTTCTTCTCTCTCTCGTGTGTTGTTTGGTGTTTGTGCTTTATCGGCCACGTTGGCGGCAGCTACAGTAGAAGCTGTTGCAGGTTCTAGTTAATATTGTTGCGTGATTTTCTGACCGCCAAATGTGCTTTGGACTATTTGCATCTTGGATTGCCGATCCAGTCCTGTACCAAAGGGATCTCGCATTTTGAAGGGGGGGGGGGCAAATGGGAAGCGGGGGGTCTGGCACGAAACCCCCAGGACACGCATCTTTTCGTGATGATCCTTGGCTAGTATATTGTAGTAGTCCTGCAATCTTTCTTGGTTTCAACGTGGATCGGATACTTTTGAATCTTAGCGTCGTGTTGCGGACAACCAGCCTTATCTACAGCTTCCCAATGGTGTAGTACGTCTAGACATGTGTTTTTTCACATGTCATGCTGCCAATGCGCACGGGTTGGTTATTGCTTCCCCCAAATGCTGTTATAATACTACATCAGGCAACTCTTGCGGTTATTTTTGCAGACGGCATGAGCTGAATTAACAGGAACAGCACGAGATGATCCGCGGTTTGTCTCGCTTAATCGAGAGAGCGAGCACTACATGTGTATGCTCTTACCCTAAGGCCTCACGTATGCATTTGTACATTGTTCATGTCAAAATCTAGCCTAGGACGTGCGCGTGATGCACCACCCGGTAAAAAAAAGCGAATGTGAAACGAAACAAGGCAACTAACTGCTGTTGTTGCCGAGCAAGAAGCCAGGCGGGCCGCCCGAAAGAGCTTCTTCGAAAGTTGAAAAGAGTCGTCCACAGCCAGCTCATAGTTTCCTTGGGTGTTAAGAAATGCCTCACAGACTTGATTGACTTGAGTCTAATCTAACTCCACGCGACAAGTCTCACACCTCGAGACAACAACAGCAAGAAGGGAAAAAAGCAAATCGGCTCGTCTTTGCCTTCCTCCGGTACAAACACCGCCAACTCTTACTCATGCACGAATTGTACTTTTGTCGAAACAGCAGCTAGAACAGGCTGCCCAACATCTCCACCCAGTTCCGCTTGGCCCCGAGCGCTCGATCTGGCGCCGCGGCGGCCTTCTGCATGCGAGGACGCCGCTCCGTCACCGACATCGAGGCGAACCTTCTTCGCGTGTCCTGCCGAACAAAACAAACGACCGGATCAACGCGGACATTTTGACTTTAGTCATGTGTAACCGTGAGAGAGGGGGGTGGGGGTGCGACTGGTGAGGTGGCGGGGTTACCATGAGCTGTAGATCCAACTTCAACATCCACCGCCAACCCATGTGTGGCTGTTAAAGCGAGTGCAATATACTTCCCCAAGTATTAAGTATTCAATGTCAATTGCACCGTAAACCTGAGACTAGAAGATTACCCCGGAAGTCCGTTCGTTGGTCTTCACTGATTGAGGAGCGGACAACAAACGACAATAATAGCCACACCAAGAGCAATCCTGACGACACGGGCGTGGTAAGCCCGCAATCGACAGCCAGACGCAAACGGGCCAACATACAAGCCCGATCACACGCATCTACGTATCTACTCTAAATCGCGGCATGCTTCCTTTCGTCTTGCGAAACACAAAAAAGCTGTTGACATCGGCACGGTAAAAAAATCCCTAACGTCAAGACTCTCGTCCAATCAGACTGCTACGTGCTGCCACTGCTGCCGTGGATGCACATGTCGTTACGCAAACAAACCTGGTTGCTCTGGGGCTGCGGCAGCGGTGCGGGTATGTTGAGCATCTGCCTCATCCCCGCCGGAACGGCCGCAGGCGCGTTCCCGTTCGCCCCCGGCTCTCCTCCCGCTCCGTCGAGCCCCTCCCCAGTAAGGCTGTCTGTTGTTGTTGTTGTTGTTGTTGTTGTTGTTGTTATTGTCGTCGTCTTCGAATGGTTACTACTAGGTGGTATGTGAATGCGATTGGTTTGGTTTGCAAGCGTCTACATTGGTTCTCACGTATCATGTGGTACATGCTGGGTGGCCTACTGATGATGTGCATCATCAAAACGCAACTACGGGAGGGTGCCACATTGGTTTACCGCAGCAGCGCGACTTGCTCGTGAACAAAACATGCACCGCAGGGCCTGCAAGGCTTACCCGCCGTCCACACGGATACACACCGGTTCGGCCGCGAAGCTACATACACAGGACTCCACAGCACATTATGAATAGTCTAGAGCGTTGCACCACCCCCTTCAACAACAGTTTCGTTCTGTAGCAGTGCAGGGCAGAAAGCAGTGGCAATATGGTTCGACGGAGCACTGGGCCTATTGATAGTGTCGCGGGGCCACGCCTGCAATCGAGCACATCGCCGCCGTGCCCCTCTTGACAAAAAAGCATTGGACGGTGGCGTTGCCAGCCTCTACTAGCAATCCACAATCCACCCCCCCCGCGCGCGTAGGAATCAAAAACGCCGCACGGAGCACGTTGCGGTCGCTAAGGCAGCCCAGTCGCTTCTCTCACCCAAGAACAAGAACAGCCCGTCTCCCATGGTCGCGGTGACGTGATCTCGCTCCCCGAGAGCCACCTCTTGGGCCTCGAGCTTGAGCTTCCTCGCGTGCTGCTGCTTGCGCGCCTCCTCCAGCTGGTTGTAGTGCTTGCGGCTCTCCTGCCGCGGCAGTCCGGCCCGAGACGAAGCGGCGCGGGCGAGAAAGAGGCGGGGGGGACAGGGGGGCGGGGTTGCAGTGCCATCAACCATAGACTGGGTACAACAAGTGGGAGAGGAATAAAAAAAAACTGTCATCACTATAGTGTGTTGGACGCCGGATGGGGGGGGGGGCGTACTCATTTGTTCCTACCGTAGTCATTTGACCATTGACCACGCGTCCCTTTCGAGACGGAGCACCTCCGGCGGGGGGGGGCACGGGGCGGGCTCGCTCGGTTCTTGCCAAAAAAAACTGCGTACCACCGCCGGATGTACCTGGACACGCTTCAGGATTTTGGCTGGCGCGCTGTATGGGCAGTGTGTGTTTGTGTGTGTCTTTGTGTGATCGACATCTGGGAGCGACAGTATCTGGCGCGAATCCCACAAGGTGGCAGGTGGCACACACCCTCGAAAACTGAAGGGGGCCAGACACATCTATCATGGCATACGAGGCCAAAACACTCCGCCAGTGCTGGCATGCGTGACCGCAACAAAACGCTTGTTTTGTCAAAAACCTGACCAATGTTTAAAAAAAAAAGCAAAAGCGTGTGTGAGTGAGTCACCTGTTGTTGTCTTAGCGCCGCCAGCTGTTCCTCCACGACTTTTTCTCGGTCCACCCTGACACCACCACCACCACCGCCGTGGCCATCATCATGGTCACAGCGAGGGGAGGGATTTCGGAGGCGGGCAAAAAACAGCAAATCGATGCCACCGTTGTGGTGAGTGCAGAGAGCGGGACCGACTCTTCATAAAGTGTGATCTCGCTCCGTTCACTCACGGGGAGTGTGCCACACAAGACGGTGTGTTGTTGCTTACTTCAACTTCCACGTAATCCTACAAGACCAGTACACGGTTGATTCGCGGCGGCCTTTTGTCTTGTTTCCATACGAGCAAACCAAAACCTATAGCCCGGACCCCCCCCCCCCCCCCCCGGGTAAAAACGGCATCTAAACGGCAGGTAACACCATCTACCATCTACCATCTACCATCTGCTCACTCACTTCCTGGCGGCGTTTTTGGTGATCTCGCCCCGGTGCCTATCCTCGTACTCCCTCACGGTGGCCTGGGCCCTGTCCGCCTCCCCCTTGTCGCCGCTGCAGAGCCCGTAGATCACGTCCTCCATGGTCTCAAGGTAGTCGTTGTAGGCGCGGAGGTCGCCGCCGAAGTCCTCCTCCGAACGGTTGAAGCTGTTCAAAAATCAGTTGTTTTTTATGGTTAAAAAAAAGAAATAGGGTTCATATTTGGGTGGGATGCTGTTGTACAAGTATAGTTGTTGGACTGTGATGAATGGTGGGATGTTGTACCAAACAACGTGGGTGGGTGGGAGGTAGGGATGGATGCCTCCCTTCCGGCCGGGGCTTGGAAACCCGGGGTTTGCATGTCGATTTCGACTTCTCACTTGGAAGCACGTACCAGAGCATTTGGTTAGCGTCGTCTCCGGAGCGAGCGGCATCTTCACACCTTCGAAATATAGAGGCGAGGGGCAATAACCAACTCCGAGGGAAGTTCGGGTGCACTGTTCTTGGCGCTCCCCCTCCTGCCACAATGGCCACCGTTCACCCGGTAGCTGGTGCGATTGATAGCGGGTGGGACATTCCGTTTGCCTACGTATCGCCGTAGTAGTGCCTAAAGGAACCCCGGTATTATTGTTGGTTCCATCGGTAAGCGGCGGGGCTCAGGTCGAGGTGACTAGTGAGCAATTGGTAGGCTGCTGCCCTGCCCGTCTGGCGACCAAGTCGGCCCGGAAGGAGAACAAGCAAAGCCCTAGACTTTCTATAGAGAAGCGGCACACGGCTTACAAATTGCCGACGGCAGACAGACACCCACAGGCGAGAGACAACAAGCACGGGCGTGCGTCCATCGCGTCTCTCTCTCTGTCTCTCTCTCGCGGGTCCGGCCACCTACATCTTCGTTATCCGCTTGCGCACGGTGATATCCCTCGCGACCTCCAGCTCGTCCAGAGTCTTCTCGGTCAAGCCGGCTCGACGCACCTGGTGCCAAGACGCAGGTTGTAGGGTGGGTGTGTTCCGCAACGCGCGCGCGGGCGTGCGGAGGCGTCACACACCAAAATTTGCAACGGGCGAGGGAGGGTGGCGAAGATGGCAAGAAAGAGGAGGTTGATGACACCAGAGCGGGTTCACCGGTGATTTTTTTTCAAAGATTTACCCGTGATTCCCAATGATGTTTAAAACCTGTTCCCTTCTGCCTGCCTTCCGGTCTGTCTGTCTTGTCAGTCTGTCCCTGCCTCTCCTTCATTGGCCCATTCAACACCCACCCCAACAGCAATGCGACCATTTCTATCGCACCCTCTCCGGGAGGCAAAACCAAAACACTACTAATAGTGCCGTCCAAACAGCAGTATTGCTACTTCTGACAGCAGAGTATTGCTACTGCTGTCGACACAAAGATTCTAGGCTCGATACTCCGGAGTAGTGTAAATAGACTGCACATGGGTAAACCCAATCGTGGCAAGAACTACCTGTGGCGTTGGTCCGCAGCCTCGCTGCTACAAACTCTGATGCTCGGATGGCACACTAGTGCACACTGTGTGCGTGACGCCACCTCTGGTCAAGGCAGGCGGACGAGGGAGGCCTGAGGATGCGGGCTCAGGAAACGAATTTGTTGTGAACAGCAGTGATTCTTAGACTTTTTCTTTCCAGTCTGCGTCGTGCTACTATGCTACACACAGTATAGTTATAGATAGACTACAGCAGTAAACTTTGCGTACCTGTACTTGGCACGCTGGACACGGAAACGTCTTGCGACGAAGAAGCTCCTTCTCCGCGCAAGCTTGGTGGCTGTGAGAGTCCCAACGTTGTCGCGGGCCAAGCAAGGAAAAGGAATTAGACTCGCTCACGGGCAGGCAGGCACCGGATTTTGTCGAGAGAGACGAACAAGATTTGAGGCAGCGCCGGCGGGGAGCCAGTGCGCGAAAGGTCGGGATTGCTGGTGCAGGTTCGTGTTGCTGTGAAACAAGATGTGGATTCGTCCGCTAATCAGGACAGCAAACCGCCACTGTGCAGGAATGGGCGGACAGGGGGTGGGCGAAGAACTGCTGTACTAGTCCGCTGTGTAGCAAGTCGCGTGTGCAACATGGATAGCTCATGAAGTACTACAACTGCTGTACATGGCCTTCCATGATCTAAGACTACTTTGTGACTCACAAGCGGTGTCCACACTTGTTGTTGACGACCAGTTTTTGCTGTGTGATGTTGCTCGCTTCATCCTGTGCGCCTTTACAGAGCACACACACCAGTTCATCGTCCATAGCAGCGCCCTGTCTGGTGTGGTTGTGTGGTGGACAGCGGGGGCAACACAGGCACCAGGATGGGGGGGTTACGTGGACTGCATGCTCAACGCAACCACTTCACACTCTGCTGTCACACTTGCACTTCCCCACGCACGAGAGCAGTACCTTCCCACCTCCACACCTGAACGACCGACGCTATTTTCCTCGTGAGAGGCCCACCGGGAAAAATAAGACTTGGGTGATACAGGCGGGTGCTGTTTCGAGTTTCGAACGAGGCAGAGAGTCTACGCCGCGGTTTGTGGTGTGCAAGCAAGTCCAGCGAACGAAGGAGGCAGCGAGACCTGACAGTCCCGCCGTCTCTCTCTTCAAGCTCGGCTTGCTTGGGAAGGAGAGAGAGAGAGAGAAAGAGAGAGAGAGAGAGAGTCACGGTACTTCGCTTCACCACTGGAGAAGGGAGAAGCCGAAGGGGAGAGTATTCTCCCCGGCCGCCGTTTACTGGGTGTCACAAAGGAGTGCTGCCGTATGGTGTGAAGAAGTGAATCTATTCCAGCGGAACAACCAGAGTGCTGGCAGCAGTATTCTGTATTTAGTTGGAGACAGGAGACAACGAGCGAGCCTTCCGTGAGCAAGAGGCGCAGGCAGACACAAAACAAAAAAAAAGGAGGGCGGTCTGCTGCTGATCCAACACGCACCGCGATGTGCATCTTCTGCGAGAGAGCCAGGGCCTCTCTCGACGACCCACTGGCAGGGCTCGACGGCGTAGGGGGTTGGGATGCTGACAGCTCCACCACCACCACCACCGGCGGCAGTTCCAGCAGGTTCAACAGGGGTCCTAGGGGCAGCAGGGAAGCAACCCTTACCCTGCGCCAGAAGCGCGAGGCCGAGCGATGCGAGGAGCTCAAGCGGAGGGCGCGCTTGCCGGTGACGGTCATCACGGGCTTCCTGGGCGCGGGGAAGACGACCTTCGTGAACCACCTGCTGTCGGCGCGGCACGGGCGGAAGCTCGCGGTCATCGAAAACGAGTTCGGAGAAGTCGCGATCGACGACGCGCTGTTGGGGGACGGCGGCGTCGAGAGGGGAGAGGAGGCCCAGCAGGTTTGTGCGGGGCGTTGCTACATATTGGGCTGTTACAGGTTATCACCGGCAATGCATGCACTGCGCTGCTAGAGGTGGGTCATACCTTGAAGCGATTGGTTGACTGCTGTTGACTGCTGTGCTGAATCAACAGGCCGCCGTGGACGTTCAAAACGTCCGTGGACGTTGTGCGTCTTGCTTGCTTCCGAGGACGCGTCCGATTGCATTGGGAGATGATCTGATCCTGTACCATGTACATGTGTGTCGTGGTCGCTGTTGTTCGATGGCGCCCTTTGCATGTGACTTCAGTCCGGTAGCTCCACAAGAGCCCGTAGCCCCCCCCCCACAAAAAGAAAAAATAAAGTCGGTGCAAAACCGTCAACACAGATAACACTGCCCCTCGTCCAACTTGATCCCCTCTCTCAGGTCATCCTCATGCCCAACGGTTGCATGTGTTGCAGAGTCAGGGGCGACCTGGTGGACGCGCTCAAGCGGCTCATTGTCAGCGCGAGCGAGCGCGCCTCTTTGGGCGACGGAGACGCGCCTCAGCAGACACAGCAAGAGGCAGACAAGTCACCGCCACCGCCGTCCCCCGGCGGCGATCCACTTGGCGGTGCCGCGGCGCCGGCGGTGGCGCCGCCATCTTCCGAGGCTGCTGTTGCTCGGGACACCGCTACTGCGGGAGGGGTAGAGGCGGCGCCGGCGCCGGCGGTGGCGGGGGCCCAGTTGGACGGGATAATCCTGGAATGCTCTGGTCTCGATGAACTCGCCCCCGTGCTGCAGGTGAGGTTTTGAGCCGTGTTTTGGAGCTGCATGTTCTGGCGACGAACACACCCGCGTGAACGTGCGTGTTTGCTGCTTGGCTTTTAAGGTCTCCATCCCCAGCTACTCGCGGAAGTCAGCCCCTTCCCTTCTAAACTCCTGTCGCATCGTATCTGCGAAAAAACCGGCATCACGTGTGTCACTTTCTCCCTGACCGCGACTTCGCGGCGGCAACGAAGACTTTTTTCGCGGATCTGTTCGTCCAAGAACATGTCCGTCTCGACGCGGTCGTGTGCCTATGCGATTCGCCGCGGTTGGTGCGCACGCTGATGGCGCCGCCGCCGCCGCCGTCACCGCCGCCGACAGTGTCGGAGGGCAACGGCGATGCGAAGAGCTCAACGCCGGTCGAGGAGGGCGCGGAAGAAGAAGAAGAAGCGGCCGACTCGAGCGCTGCTGCTGCTGCTGCTGCTACCCTGGTGAAGAGCCAGCTGGCCCTGTCGGATCGAGTCCTGCTCAACAAGTCGGACCTCATCTCTCCTGCTCAAGTGAGTCGGTCCCGCAAGGCTGCTCTTGAATTCTCGGGGCGAGAACCAAAAGTGGTGGGCAGCTATTCACGCACTATTTAGGGCACCTCTGCTGCCTTCGACTCTCTTTCGGTCGGGAAGTTGTTTTCAAGCACGCCTGCTGTTTTCATACCCCCACATTGTACAGTACCAGGGTGTAGCGGATCGTCCGTTGCAAACGTCGTTTTTCGCATGTTGTACGGTACTCTCTCACGTTCTTGTTCCGACTGTGCTGTCGTCCTGGGCGAGTTCTCGCCCAGCAATCACGTGAGACCCCGCGGCGACCCCGTCGAGTTCGTTCGTCCTCACACCGTGTGTCCAATTTTCGGCGGTTTTTGAGACTAGACACGGAACTCCAAGTTCCGACGGCATGAGAGCTCACACACCTCTGTGTTTGTGGCGTCCGTTCCTCGCTTCTCTTGGTGCCGCTCAAGGGGGATGCTCTGGTGGATGCCGTCAAGGCGAACTTCCCCGGCGCGGCGGTGACGCGCTGCGAGCGCGGCAAGGTGGACGTGGATCTCGTCCTGGGGGTAGAAAGCTTCTCGCTCGACAAGGCTCTGGAGGTGAGAGCCGAGCGCGTTGTCATGGTGTGGTCTCTTTTGTTCTGGTCTGGTCGCCTTCGTGTTCCGCGTCTCCCCCCCCCCTGGAGCTCCGGCGTCTGTCCCCTGTTGTTTCAGCCCCGATCGTTTGGTTGACGTCCAACCCCCCTCCCCCAAGCTTCGGTCCCTATTGACTATTGTATGAAAGTATTCTCTCCTTGGCCGCAACTCTGTTCTGTGCCCCCCCTCCCCCAAACCCAAGCCAACCACACACAAAAACA